CCCAACTATTTAATGATGAGCATTCATGGATACTAAAAATATACCGGTAATTAAGCTAGCGAAATGATGCTTATTTGCGCAAGATTAGTTTAACACAACGCGATTTTACTTTCAGACTTTAACTTTTGATCAATAATCGGTAATCGCATAACACCAAATAACCTGTTCGTACTCAAACTACTCAATAGCAAGCGTACATGGATACTAAAAATACGCTCAGACTTGCAAAATAATGCTTGTCTGTGGAAGATTAATTAGGATAGAATAAAATTTCTTGAGTATTTTCCATATTTATTGCTCCAGCCTATTGCTATTGGAAGATACTGGATAGTTTTACTGCCTAGCGGAGCTTAAATTATTCTGTTCTGTTAACCAGGAGTTTCTGACGAGACTATAAAAGGCTGGTGCCTGAAGATTCCTTTTTAGTTAGTTAGTCGGTTGGATAGTCAACTAGTTTTCAATTGATATTTAATTGTAAAGACTATAATCTTGGGTGCCAAGATTCCTTCAGTAATAAATGATAGTAAATCTCTGACTATCTCGTCTACATCATCTGTGACGCTATAATTATACCATAGTATTCGGTCGTTGGAACTGAATTATTTGGCGATATAGCTAATCTCGCCTCTTTAAGTTAGTAAGTGGCGTTCTCCGCAAGGATTGGCGTGTGTAGACTACTTTGTCACTAGTGGTGTGTGACATGTTCATAATAAATAAAGCGAGGAATTAATAGCATATTAATTTCACGTTTGCTGCCTCGCTTTGCTCGTGGGGCTTCCATAATCAGCCAGCTATAAATTTGATTCATAGACTATTTCGTATGATGTTTAGTAAATTGAGTGCAAGTCTAGTTGGCTATGAAGGCTACAGCCTGCTATGTAAATTAGGTTATTATTTTTAGTAGAAGCCATACAAAATATAGATGAAGAATTGATGGCCAATTTTGTTATTATGGTTGCTATGGTAATAACGTTTCGTCATTAGACCATTACTCAAGTCTTAGCCGAATGATTGTGACGTGATATGTAGACCAATGAATATAAAAGTGAATAGCCTGCCTTCAAAACATACTTTCGTATATTATAAGAGTTTACTATACATTTAATTGATGCTACAACAGATTGGCTGGTGTTAAAGCGCCTAAACAAATTATATAACTGCCTCAAACAAATATAGTAGCTGTTAGCTTGTTTGAAAGTCTGCCATCCATAACTTGATTTACGCATCAACATATTTTCTACCTTTTTGAATAAAATCGGCTTTGAAAATCATAGTAGAATTTATTGCTGGTTTTATTTATTCTTATGATTTAAAGCATTCATAAAATAAGCGTTCATTCCTCTAAAAGAATTTACCAACGACATTGAAAACCAACCGGTATACTTTGATTTCAAGTAATTATGAATCATAAGATTCTTTTGGAATACACAGTCGATATTTTGGACACATTTAATCCTGGATTGGAAGGAGTTGATGAGCATGCTACTAATTATTTTGATGAACATACGGTAAGTTGCTGATGATAGTAAAAATTCGTTAAATGGGGATAATGGCGATCTGTCTCCTTGGTGTTAAATAGTTTGATGTCGGACTTTCATCAAGAATATGATACAATACATCTATAAAGTGTTATTTCTGCTCTGACTCTATCAATTTGCTACAGGAACTGGCCGAAGTGGACAAGATTTTCGTTATAGAAGTATTTTCTGGTTGTGTCAGGCATAGAAGAATATTAGATGTAGGTTTAATCATTAAAATTGAGAGATTTAAGTATCGAAAACTCCAATTTCACTTGATCATTCTGCTATGAATAAGTTTAAAGCTTATCAAAGGACCAAGTAATGCCGATTAAATATCATTTATGTTTTGAATAGGTAACGATTGATCGCTTTTACTTAAAAGAGGGCAAAACATGTCTAAGAGCTTATCAAAACTTGTTCAAAGGTAGTAGCAGAACGTGCAATCATGTGTTTCATTTTATACTATTCTTTATGAGATTAGACTCTACTAAACTTTTCGTATCATTTTCTAATAATTGCTATCTAGCGTTATGTTATATTGCGTGCTTCAGAATGAATGAAATCGGTATAAGCACTTATTCAAAGTTGGTCATGTCACAAGATCCATACAAGATGATGAAAGTAATTCCATTTAATGATTTTCCTTTCAACACTCTTCGTTAAACAGGCTAATCTTGATTTCTTTTTATTTGCTTCAGTTTCTAACTTATTTATTCAACGAAACTTATATTAATACTTGGCTATGTGATGAGGTATTTATTCCGTATGAGTTCAATTTCTAAATAACTACCACTATAAGCAAATATTATGCTAGCCAAAATTTTTAATAGTAATCTAGCCTAAATAGTAGTCGGACGATTACTTGTATTCTTCCTCTAATGCCGCTGATAACCTGTAGTGCTATACCAGCTAGCTAAAATTGAATGAATGTATTTTTCCTATAGTGGAGTAAAACTTACGATCCAGACTATGTTCAGGAAGAACTGGTTGCTCCAATGCTAAAGTAAGACTTGGGATATAAATTAATTGTATGAATTTGCTTACGATTTCTAATGCATGAAATTTAAATTCATCTACAATGGATAAAAACTAAATTGATCTCAACTGTTATTTCATTAGGCGCCTTCCAAAAGTTCGAGAAATTATAAAGAAGTTGAAAAGTAGAATTGAAAAGGTGGAAATCCCTAAGCAAGCTAAGAAGCCTCCTACAGGTTTGGTTATGAACGCTTTTATACTACTAAAATGTGGTAGATAGCGTTATCTGATAAAACTTTAAATTACAGAATCAAAGCCATTTCAGATTACCAAACCAAGGCCAAAAGTGATAATGTCTCCTGAGAAGGTAATTTATCTGCCTTATTTACATTTACACCCTATATTAATGCTATGATAACAAAGAAAAATATGGGACTACTTTTTCTTATTTACGTTTGATAAAATATGCGCTCATTATAGTTGAATTCTTACTTTCAGATTCCAGTTATGCCGAAGCATAAATCAGTGCCTGCCAGTACATATAAACCGCCTTCGGTCCAGAACCAACTGAGTCAGATTAAAACTGAAAATAAGAAGAAATCAGAGGTAATGATCGATTTAAAGTTAGCAATTTAACGCTTTTCTTATCGATCTAATTTACAGTTCGATAAATTTTAATTCACAAATATCTTCTGAATTAGGAAAGTCTTAAGAAAATTAATAAGACAAAGCCAAAGTGTAGTGATACAACTAAATCAACTAAATTCAAGGTAATACTGTGTATAAATTTCTAATTTTGCTTCTTTACTACTTGGTTATGATATACAATAATTGTAACTTAACTCTTACTATTGTTTCTTATATTTACAGAAAAAAATGCAAGAATTGCAACTGCAGGAAGAATCACAGTAAGCTATTTTTGATGTTAGTACTAGTTTTTTATATAGCTTTATTGCTAGGATGTACGAGTGTATGTCTAGAAATAACATATTTTCCATGTGATACCATCTATTAAATAACTTTTCGCCGTTGCTATAACATAAAGGATCCATAGCTCTTAATTTTTGATAAAAATTCAAATTCTTGTAGGTTGAATTTCAACAGGAAATATAATAGGCGAACTGCCGAAATTACGGTTAGTATATCTGAGTGGAGTACGGGCTCTTATTTGTTCTAAGTTAATTTCAGACAAATAATATTGTTAATCCATAAGGAATCGTTTATACGCGGGTTTATATTACGTTAAAATTAGGAGAATGCGATTCCTGTAAAACTAAACGCCGCTACTATCTTACGAGAAGGAGCGCTGATAGGCAAAAAAGAAGAAGAAGAAATTAAGAAGTATGCACGTATATAAGCAAAGACAATCAATTCAAATTTTTTAGAACAATTTTCAAATATAAGACGGGTGTTTAGTCTACAAACTGAGCTTAGAATATTGGTACTTATCCCATAGGCTTGCGGAATTAGAAGCTGGTCAAAAGGATGAATCAGAATTTTTAGAGTGGCAGGCTTCCATGAGAGAGGTAATAGAATGA